AATGCGCCCGTTGACTTAATGCGCCAATTGATTTTATGCGACAATATTACTAATAGCTTCAAAATGCAATTATCATACATTTTTGGATGATTTAAAAAGTTAGCTCATAACAACTTCACATAGTTTTCTCACCTTTTTAATTACGTATTTTTCATAAATTATTTAAATTATTGATTTGAAATTATACTCTTAATTATGCTTAAAATTAAATGCAAAAAAAAGTGCACCTGTAATACTTAAATTAAACTTCAAAATTATTTATTTTCCATTAATTATTTGATTGCTATTTTCACCATATTTTATCCATTTCATGAATTAATTAATCCTACAACAAGAAAATACGTGAATTAAATTATGACGAACAGAATTAAAGATGTAAAAGTTTGAAATAATCTTTCCAGAAGACATATAATTCTATTTTCAAATTTTTCATTATTTAATTTATGCCAAAATTAATTTTTTAAATTTCACTTCAAAATGTTTCTCATTTTTTCCTTTCTTTTTTACACATTTTTTTTTTTTATATTGAAAACGAACAAAATGCGCCAAAATTTATTCCCCTCAAAATAATATTTAATTGTTGGCATATTGATTTATTTCAAAAATGAACTATTGTTGTTTTTTTTTTATAGGAATAAAAAATTTCTTGCTATTTCTTTATAGAATTAAAAAGAAAATAAAAATTTGCATTTTTTATTAAATCAAAAATTGATTCAAATTATTTAAAAAAAAGAAAAAATTGATTCATACAAAGAGCTGATTAAATTTTAATATTTCAATATATTACAGTCATATATTTGTCGTATATTCGTCATTTATTGCTTGTTAAGTACAATGTAAATATACAATCAGGTGATGATGACAATGTTGATAATGATGACTTCGATTGGTAAACAATGTTTTAATACACTCTTCAGATATATGAGAAATCAATTATACTCTACCAGTTATTCATTTCTCTTTTCTTTCTTCTTATCATTAATCAGTTTTTGATTATTCAAATTTCATGATCATATTTGATTCTTGATATATTAATTTATCATTTCTTTTTGAAACTTTTGTTTAATATATGGTTTATTGTAATTATAGTATAAGAATATTTTTGTAACACTCAAAAATTTTGACATTAAAATATAATTCTTTAAAAAACTGAATAACCTTTGACCTGTCTTGATTATTTTAATATTACTAATTCATTTATCCTTTTCTAAGGCTACACGTGACTTTGGATTAAATATTTATGAGTTTACTATAAATATGTATAATTTATTAAGTATTCAACGTGTTATTATTCATTCAATAAGTATTATTTATTCAACTTTTATTTACTATGATGAAAACAAGCTTTTCATCCCTCATGTAAACAAATAATAATATCCCGAGATGTCGTTGTTGCAACTCTCAACCGGATTTGGGTATTATCTTATACTCTATTGATTGATATATCAAAAGTATAAAATGAATGATGAATGGGATAAATCGTTGAAATTATTCTAAGATATCTCAGATCTGAAAATAAAATGAACACAATCCCAAATCTAATCATTTTTTTTTCGTTTTTTGTATTTTTTTCATCTTTCATGAAATTCATCTCTTTACATATTTCATGCAAATTTTCAATTTTTAAATTTTATTCTATTTTTGGAAATCATAATGTTATCAATACATATGACAGTATGGCAAATGATAAATATGTAAAGTGATATTATCAATCAATGATCAATTTATCGATTAAACCTCGTTTGTTTCAAATGATTTCGTTTATTCAATCCAAAAATTGTTGACAATTGTAGTGACATTTTGACAAAATTATTAAAATTGAAATTGGATCAAAATTGAAATGTGTCCTAAATGGGAGATTAAAATATGATTAAATTTTTATCGAAATCAGAGATATTGTTAGAAAAAAAATGAAAGAAGAAAAGTTTCGATCAATTTGGATAGCATATTTTGAATTTTTAATTAAAATATTTCAAATCAAACAATTAAAATATTGATAGCCAAAATGAAAAATGATCAGTTCAATGCAAAAAATTCATTCATGGATGTTTGATGAATGAATACAGTATATTATTATAACTTTCATTGTTACTAAACTTTAAAAATTTTTAAATTAATTAGTTCATTTTTTAATTTCTGATTATTTATCCGTTGTTTTATGTTTTAAAATTGCTATTTTAGACTAATTGTTCATCGAAGAAATCACTCAACACTTCTCATATTTGTTTAATTTTAATCTTAATTAGTATATCGAATAAAAACTATTAAAGTTTGTTGTATTTTGCAGAGAATTTTAAAGCAATTCAATTCATCGAACGGAAAAAGACGGAAAATTGAAAAGAAATGAATTTGCATGCGAAACAGTTACTTCAGAGAAGTACCGAACAGTTTGGACAAGATTATCAATCATTATCAGTTGGTCAGAATAGCTACATGTATGTCGAATGATTATCAGTGATAATTTTAATTAGCTGAATTGAATTTAACAGAATTAAGTTTTCTTTTTTTAATTAGTAAATATGTCTATTAGTGTTATGGATTCATAAGTAAATTAACAAACAATTTTCAAATGATAGTACAGTGATCAAAAGGTCACTCAGTATCATTCTTAATTAATTAATTTCTAGCCAGAAATCAGTTTAACTTTAATCGTGGAAAACTTAGCTATAAAACGTAAAGGGAAAAGAAATAATAATAGATAGAAGCATTATCACTGAAATTATAGCTAAATTTCAACTAAAATAAGTTAATTAACTAATTAATTTGTGCTTAATTGTAATAGTGTTAATTCAAGCTGGTTAATAGTCCCCTATTAGTAATTCAATTTTCAGGCATCGATTAGAAATCAGTGATGATGGAATTTATCAATCATCGTTTGGATATTACGATCGAAATAAGCCTTTACTGCAAAGTACAACAACAACTATCAGTAAACAACAACAACAACAACAACAACAACAACAACAACAACAACAGCAATTCTACAACAATACTTACAGTAAGTGTCAATCAGATTCTGCAACAATACTTACAGTAAGTGTCAATCAGATTCTGCAACAATACTTACAGTAAGTGTCAATCAGATTATCCTCAAAAAAGAAAAAAATCAAGTTCTTGATTACATTTGAAATTTATTTTTTTTAAATCTGAAAATTTTAGCTTACGTAGAAATCATTATAATTACAAATAAATCATAAAACTACTTTGCATTCCTGAACGAAAAAAGTTAGAAAGTAAGAGAATTCGAATTATCACTGATAAACCTTTGCTAAGGTAATTTAAATTACTGCTGATAAAGACCAAAGGAATTTGAATTATCACTGATAAAGAAAGCATATTTAAGGATAGCGATACTGGAAGTGAAATTATTGCAAAACTGTTAAGTTAAATTTGATATTAAATTGTTATAATAATTAATGATAGTAATAGGGATGAATCAAATAAAACTTCGAAGAAATTATCAGTAATAGTTGCTGATATACTTATGATAAGTTCAACTTAAAATTTTCAGCATCAACTGATCAAACAGATATGACACATCGGAAAGATTCCTCAATTCACAATCTTATTGATATTTACAGAAGTTCCAATAATACTGTAGAATTTATCAGCAATTTTGAGCAATATCTTAACTCATGCTTGCCGTCATGTTAGTGAATTATTGCCTTAGCATTAATTTAATTAATTAACATTGTTATCTTTGCTTTCCACTTTTCCCATTCAAATTTATTGATTGCAATTAACGGAAAAGATACAATGGAGTAAAATATGAATTTCACTAGATCGTTTGCTAAAATTAAGATTTTAACAATTGTTTAGAATATTTTTTTCATTCCAATTTATTTGAAAAAAGAAATTTCAGATGTTTGGATTGGATTGATGTTTTTGTTAATGTTGTGGGGCGTTATACATATAATAGTTGGTTAGTGTCGCAAAATTAATAAATAACGCTTTTCATCATGAAATTTGATGAACGAATAATTGATGATAACAATAATAATAATAATAATAATAATAATAATAATAATAATAATAATAATAATAATAATAATAATAATAATAATAATAATAATAATAATAATAATAATAATAATAATAATAATAATAATAATAATAATAATAATAATAATAATAATAATAATAATAATAATAATAATAATAATAATAATAATAATAATAATAATAATAATAATAATAATAATAATAATAATAATAATAATAATAATAATAATAATAATAATAATAATAATAATAATAATAATAAT